ATCTGAGAAACAGATTGCTTGTTTTCCAAGAATATCAAATGCATTTTACATTCTAGATTAGTGGCATATCCTGCCTAGATAACAATGACACTTATTCTGAGTGCCAAAGCCTGGATGTTGTGCTCAAATGACATTCTGTTACCCTGAATGAAAACCCCATGAACAGTCTCCCTAGCACTAAGAAGATTAGCTGTATATAAATGTTTCAATTGAAAATAACTAACGGCATGATGCAGTACTCAGTATGCTAATGTAGAAAATCCTCTTGGTTTAATTGTGAGTTTACAGACTGTTTCCTTGTAGGCTCTTAAGTCATTATATAGAATGGATAAACAAAATTGGATTTTTGATTGGTGTATATCTAGCCTCTCTTAGGTTTTGGCCAGCCTGCTGTGTTTTTATAGCTGGTGCTTTGAATAAATTCAGCCAGAAGGTGTAAGCAATGTTCCCTAAATCCTTGTCTACATTATGATTTTACAGACTACTAATTTTCAATACATATAGCTCTACTAGTGATTGCACCAATACAAGTTGTAACATAGGAAATGCACCTTGCTCTAAGAAAGATGTGATGGCTCTGTGTTAAAAATGTTTTTTCTTCATCTAGGCTATAGCTTCTGAATACTCATTGGGAACTTCTGGATCTGAAAACCTTAGTGTAGGCTCAGGTTGATCAACAGGCAGCAAGGTGCAAAACAAAATCTCTTGTAGTACTTCTTGTGTGGTATGGTCTCTCTCTTCTGTAAATTTGTTTCTTGTACTGACGCACATTTTACTTCAGCATATATTTACCTAATCATTTTTTCCATCTATACGACTATAGTCTATGAGCTGCACCCAGGCATCTAGAAATCATTTCAGCAATCACTTCCTGTCTTCAAAGACCATAAAAAAATTACTTGATTACTTGATAATGGATTTTTTTTTCTCCCGGCTTGCATGTTGGATTTTGGCCTTACCTAGGAAAAAATGTGTACCTGAGTGTGAATTGATTCACTCTTTGCAGGTTAGTTTAAGCTGTGCAGCTTAAACTGGTTAGTAACTGCACAGACATTCTCTGTTAAATCAGGAAGTGCAGGCACGTGCCTGCAGTGGCTGAAACCAGAAGCCAGGGGGTGTTAGAGCATGCCTGCCAGCCACTGCCAAAGGGGAGGGTAGAGAAATGCCCTCCAAGACTCTTACCCCTCCCTGCTGGAGCAGAGGGGGCATGGCCAGGCACCAGCCTGGGGCTAGTACGACACAAGGGATGCCAGCCGCCAGCCTGGGGGTGGAGTGGGGGGCAGAGCTGCTGACAGACTGAGGAGTGGGTGTGGGGAAAACTCCTTTCTCTGAAGCAAGCATGTATTGAACACAGCGATTTGCAAAGCATACAACAGGGAACTACCAAAAATCTTTACCTAAGCTGAGATGCAGCCCAGTAAAACACAGTATATACAACTTAATTTATCTTAAAATGTAAAGCAGGAAGACAAGAGAGAACAGTGCATATGTCTTACTAAACCTGAGGGCAAAGTGTCTCCTGAGAGCCAGGCATTCAGAAATGTTTGTTTAGGTTTTACAGGTTCCGCTTTATAATGTATATGTAGCTCTCTGCATTCTTTGGTCTGCAACTTCCAGCCAAAAGCTGTCTGCAGCTTCCCTTAACTCCATCTCCAGCACATATGTGTGATGATTGTCAGGTCTTTGCCAACACTTCCCACCTCTTATTCTGGTCCTGCAGGTCTTAGCTCTGGGATCACAGGTGCAGGTCTTGCCTCTCTCCCCTGCTCCAGGACCCCTGTGGAATTAATCCCCTCCCTGGCTGCAGGCAAGATGGACAGAGGAAGGAATTAACTCTGTCTTTGCCTGGCTGCAGGAAAGCCGTGGAGGTGTGTTTGGGACTGGCAAACAGGGTTTGCCAGCAGAGGGGAGAAGGGATGGAGGGAAGAATTTGCCTCAGGGGCCATGGCAGGCCAGCATCTGGCTACGCCCCACACGCAAGGGAGCAAAGGGGATGGGCCATCGCTGTTGTGGAGCAGAGCGCCCCACCCAGCCCATAGAGCATGTCGGGATGCTGGGGGGTCTCTGATTTAACTTAAACCAGCAAGGAGTCTGGGACAGACATTGCAAATAACCGGTTTGAGTCAAATCAGTTAAGTCTGATACTACATTCAACCATGTTTATCTCAAACCGGTTTCAGCCATTTTCAAACTGGTTTATGTGCACTGAATGTCTGTTCTGTTACAGTTTTAAATCAGTTTCTGATCACTTAAAAGAGTTTATGTGTAATCTGATCACTTAAACCAGTTTCTGTTCCTCAACCTCCTAGGCTAGGAGGTTGCAGGACAGAAGTGAGATTGGTGGGGAGCAAAGAACTGATGTGATATGTAGGAGATGGAGAGGTCTAGGTGGTAAGGATAGTCAGAATTGAGTTTGTGGTTGGAAGGGGGTGTTGGGCAGATGTGTGGGCTGGGAATAGGTTGAATTGTTTGGTCAGGGAGCAGGATGGGTCTAGAGGTAAAGGGACAAATGAATTGCTGGTCCAAACACAGTCCTGGGTGGTGGTGATATACACACACTCTGAATAGTGTAGCATGGGACAGGCAAAATCAAGACAGACCAAAGCCATATTTTAGCTTGCTCATGTTCTAAAATAAAATTAAAAAAAGAAAAAGGGAGGAGGGAAGTGGTGTGGGGTAGAATCCAACTCCTGGGCCACATCTGCAAGAGCAGGGGCATGCATTCGCAACAGCATAAATAGTAGGAGCATAAATTTGCGCCACTGCTTTGTGCCACAGTACATGCCCCCGCCCATGTGCTTTGCAGCGGGAAACATTGTCCCACTGCTCCATGTGCTGTGGGGGGAGGGGGGAGGAGGCTGGCTGGGGCATAGGGTGCCTCAGGTGGGGCTATCCAGCAGGCAGCCCCCATACGGAGGCACCCTGTGCCCCAGCCAGCCTGAGAGCAGCATTTGGACACGAGAGACCAGGCCCAGGGCTCCCCCATCTCCTCATGCTGCGGAGTTTCTGTGCTGAGGCACCCTGTGCCCCAGCCAGCTGCTCCCTAGCTGGCTGGGGTGTAGTGTGCCTCAAGATGGGGGAGCAGGCAACCCTAGGCTGGCTGCTCTTCTGAATCTGTGTGCCTCATTGTGGAGGCTGTGCTGTGGAGCCCCCATACTGAAGCACATAGAGTCCCTGTGGAGCAGCTGGCTGGGATGCAGTGTGCTTCAAGACAGGAGAGCAGTCAGCCCAGGGCTGGTAGCCAGCAGCCCAGGGCTCTGCAGTGCAGCCTCCATGCTGAGGCATAAGGAAATTGGCCAAGGGCTGCCTGTTCCCCCGTCTCAAGGCACACTGCACCTCAGTCAGCTAGGGAGTGGCAGGGTGCCTCAGTGTGTGGGCTCTGTAGCATGTGGAGACATGGGAGCAGTCAGCCCTGGGCTGCCTGGTCCATCTCCACATTTGTCCTGGTACACGCTGCTTTGGCATGCTTTGTGCTGTTTTTTTCTTCAAGGTTGTTTTTTGTTTGGTTGTTTTTTGGGTTTTTGTTACTGAGAAATCCCAGTAGCAAATTTGCCCTAGTGCTGCACATTAGCAGTGCTGCACACAGTTTAACATGCAATGTGTGCAGTTTGTGGTGTCATTTAGGTTTATAGCAACACAAACTGCATGTGGCTGCACGTCTGGATCTGGCCCTGATGTTTTGATCTCTTGAGGTGTGGCAATACTGGCAAGGCCTCTTATAAAAAGTAGGCACAATTTTAAACTGAATTGAGTTTTTTGAAGAGAAATAAAAATGTCTGCTAGTTTAACCAAGAAGATAAACTTTACACCCAAGACAAAATGTACAATATTGTACTGTAAACTCTGTGCTGAAAATGGCAAGGTTGGAAGTAATCTCCTACAAGAGTGAAGGGCATAGTCCAGCTATAACTTTGTAAAAGTGGTCTCCAATGCTCTTAAACCTCTCCCATTATTCAGTAATGTAATTGTTGCAGTGAAAAGTAGCTGTTATGGAAGAACCAGCTCTTGCATGGAAAGGTGAACTCATGGTAGCTAATGCCAATTTCATGAAGGGCTTTGAATACTGGGAGTGACACAGGTCACACTGTATACTGGAGTGTGCCTAGGAGGCATTTTTGATTTGATGTGCATTATATGGGGGTGAAGGGAAATTAGGGAGAATCACTTTGAAATAAAAATCAGATTGGTTTGTATTGTAAGTCTATGAAACCATCTGCATCACACTTATTAGAACCTGCTTCTCTGGGACGTATTGGATTTTTGATCAAGGGAACTGGATTATCCCATATCTTTCAACAACTGTTATGGAATCTTCAGTTCCCCCTGGAAGCATCGTTTAGTTTAGCATATTATAAGAGCTTAACCAAAGGCAAAAGTTTAATGTCATCTCTGTGTCTGCCAAAAGTTTAAGAGAATGACTTGCTGTATATTTCAACGTGCAGAGTAGCAATGGATACATATTATGTTGTCTTAGCTCTTCAATATGAACTGTCTTTCTCTCCGTGAGGGTGGGTGCAAAGTCGTGGTGGGCAGAGCTCAGTGGTTGGTTCCAGTGGTTTAAGTCAGCATGTTCTTGTTATAGGAAATTGAGAGCCAGTGGGATAATTTTTAAACGGTGCAGATGTTTAATGATAGGTTTCAGCAAACTTACAAACTCCTCAGCTATGCAGTCCAAGATTAGAGCCAGACGTCGTGGAAAGTTATTTATGTATATTACATAGTATACTTTAAAGAAATATTTAAAATTGCCAATGGAATCTAAACTCTGCAATACATGAAGTCATTCTTAATGTCTGAATCCTAAAATGGTTCAGATTTGTGTTTGATATATCTTTTGTAACTACATGCATATATGGGAGAGCATATGTTTATGCTGGGGTGGGTAGGTATTCATAGGCTTATATACAGAGAAAATACTGTTGCTCATTTAATGTTGCATTCAAAGTGTGTTGCATCTCTGGTACAAGTCTGAAATAAAACTTTTGGATTTTCTCTTTCAGAATCGTAATGAAATAAAAAATGGAGCTATCCTTCGATTAACAACCTCTCCAGTAAGTTACCTTTCCATTTGCTGTCCTTTGGCTCTTCCTTAGTGATGTTTGGTTAGGGGATTCATTGTAACCTTGGGGTTGTTAAGGGAAAATTGCAATGAATTTAAATTTTTTGAAATCGAGAGCCTAAAAACAGTAGTTCTCTACCTTTTTGGGGGTCTGACTCAGAAAATGGTGTGAAATAGTGCCCTGTGACCACCATGTGCCATGGTCCATCTGGAAGGGACTGTGGGAGATTGGCCACAGAATTTTTTTTTCTTTAGCCATGAAGAAAACAATACCTGTACATGAAGCTAGCAGAATAACTTGCAGTTGGTTCTCTTTTTCTGGGTGTTTAGCCTTTTTAGCCTTGTATTGTGCACACCTCCAAGGTATTTGAGCTTCCAAGATCTGTTAAGCTAGTACTGCAGGCTCCATCAGAAACATTGCCTCTGTTCACAGCTGGGAAGGAGGGCATGAGAACTGAATGCAGTGATGGTGCAGTCATGAGGGAGGAAGGTAGATTGAGAGAGATGTTCCTTAGCTCACTTGCCTTCCTTGCTTTGACCTCGTGAGAGTGAGATTTTTGTTTTATTTAACATATTTCAGTGTCTCAAATGATGGGGTTGACCCTTGATACTTTGGCATAGCAACTCTTTATCTATTCTTTTTTTTCTTTCTGGGAGCAGGAGAACAGATTGAGAGATATGTAGAGCAAACTTTGTATTGTACACCTGTGCCACAGATACAATACTTAGCACATTGCTAGAGCTGATGAGACATTTTCATTTTGTTTTCCTGTTTTGCATCTGGATGAAACTGAGAATGTCTACAAAAAAGAAAAAAAAATGGAAGTGGGAGTGGAGGGGGGAAGGAAATCCTGAGAGAGACCCCACAGAGAATAGTCTGTGGACAGCTAATTAGGGCACTTGCATGGGATGTGAGAGAATCAGGTTCTACTGCCACTTGCAAGTCATCCCAGGTGAGTACTCTAACCACTGGGTGTGAGCTGTTCTGCTGAGTGAAAATATCTGTTTTGGATCCCAAAATTCTATACTAAATCTTAGAATTTCCTGGTATGTTTGCTATCTATTCTAGGCTGTGGACTGGCTCATTTCTAGCGATGGAAAACTTCTACCACTAGAAATTCTTCCAAGAGAGGAATCTGTACAGGCATTCAGCCTGCCTCCATCCCCTCTTTCCTGCTCCTCACACCTTCCCAAGACTGGGGTTGTCTTGGTCTGGGGAAAGCATGGGAAGCAGTGACTGCTCCTGTCCTCCCCATGGGGCAAATCCATCCTCTTGCCTGCTTCTCAGACTGGGGACTCCAGGCTGGAGAGCTGGCAGGGAGAAGCAGCCAGCTGCTCCTTTGCTCAGCTCCCAGTGGTACCTCAGCAGGGTAGCAAGGGGAAGCCAGCTGGGGGCTAGAAACCAGGCTTGGTGACAGCCTCTCCAAGCCTGATTTGCAGTCCCCAGGCTTTGCAGTCTGACCTCCTACTGCCCAGGTATGTGGTAAAGGCAACAGAAAGAGTTGGCAAAGCCCATTCCCACCTCTTTTCCCAAACTGGTGACTGCTTGGTTTAGAAAGGGATGGGGAACACTGGCTGCTTCTCCCATCTTCTCCCAGACCAGTCCAGGGAAGGAAGAAGAGCAACGGGGCAAAGCCCCCAGCATGCTCCTCAAACCGAGCAATCCCTGGTTGGAGGTATTGTTGCTCCCATCCGTTGTTGGGGCTGATCAAGAGAGGGGCATATAAGCATTCACTCTTGAGAGAGAAACTGTCCCTCAAGGGAGATCTTTCAGGTTGAGACCAAGAAGATCTTTCTCCCGCAAGAGGCATGTTTCCCATAGGGGAAATTCAGTGAACACTTGTATGCTTCTCATTTCTGCCAGGAGAATGATGATTCTCTCAGTAGAAATGTAATGCCTGTACATGGCTTTTGTCTTGACTAATTAGCATTTCCTGACAGGTGAAAAAAATTATCCAAAAATTCCTGACTAGTTTTTCATGTTCCATACAGCGAAAAATGCCAAAGTCTTTCCAAATGTAGTTTAAAATAGTTGCCAGCAGGCTGGCATGAAACTGTTAAATGGAAAGGGATGTAAACCATTTGTTGGCTGATAGGAATAGTGAGATGACTGTTAGGATGTGGTCTTTTCTGTGGATACCTTGAATCATGTTGGGACTGTGGACTTGCTTGTGGTCTGTTGAACTGTAATTTTACTGTACACCAATATGTCGTTCATTTGAGCAGAGCAGCTGCTTTTAACTCCAGGTGGAAGGTGTGTGTCTTTTATCCCTACCGCCAAACTGCTTTTGTGGGAGTGACATTGAAGATTCCTTTAAATTAAGACTAGAAATCTTAAATACTGAGTACCAATTTTCTTTTTAATTGCCGCAGTTTTTAGTTTACTTGTTTTATATATACTTGCTTAGTCTACTTGTGTGTGTGGGGGGGGGGGTGTCTGTAACCTGAAAATGTACATAGCCTTTTCCCTAATTCATTGCACCATTACCATTACTTACAGTATGTTGCTAAATCCATTATAAATGCATTCTATTAGAGATTTTTAACTTGTCTATTTTACGTTTCATTCAGTTGGAACTTTGCAAATACAAGTTATCAGAGCTGTTGTGAATTTGACCTGCTTCTTTGTTTCCTTAGATCTGTTCACTAAGTGCGTGTGATTCTTTGAAGGGTTGTTTTTCTAAACAATGTTGTGGGTTTTTTCCTCCCCCACTCTTTAAAACACTTGTGTGCACACGTATTCTGTTTCCTAGGTTACTTGAGTGTAGATTGGATTTCTTGCATATAATCTTTGCTCTCATCCCATCTTTCTTATTTATTTTTACCTTGATATTACCTTTCTCAGCAAATCTTTGTAGATGCCATATAAAATTTTTGCCATTTTCCATGACCCTTCTTTTCCCTCATGACTCCATTTGTGTTCCAGTGGAGCTCGTAATCTCTGTTTTGTCTACCATTTGTCTTTTTTATGTCTTTTCCCACATATTTGAGACCTGAAATGTCACTTTGTCAGGTATTGACCATTCTCAGATGTTTCTCCCCTTATGATTGGCAAGTAGGTTGATGAATGAATTGTAATCTTTGTATAATGTCAGAATATTTCTGAAGACAAGATGTTTATCCTTGCAGCAAGCCTAATTACCTGTAGTCTTTGTAAATGATGATTCATATATTTTATGGGATGGATCCTGAAAAATCATATTCTAATGATGAACCTTCCAAAAGGTGGGGGAAATAGTAATAGCACTCAGTTTAAGTAACTACTTTAGTATGTTTTTGGGCCTGAATTATTTGCAAACAATTGGACATCTGTGTATTTGTTTGTTCAAAATTATGAAACAAATTTTTTATAAAACAGGACTTGCTCATGAACAATAGTTGGTATAGATTTTAGTATTTGTTATAATCCTGTGCTAGTCGTGATGTATGATTAACAGCTTTTCTCATGTGGTGTATTTTTGGCTCCCTGAGGAAGATTGGAAGAGTCCTGAACTTGCAAAATTGCTTTCAACCTGGCTATATTAACATTAATATTCTAAATGCACATAAGAATACATGTCCACATGTATTTATAATAATTTGGCATTTCCATGAGTGTTTTTACAAATGCAAACAACATTTACTTTGATTTGTACAAATTTTTCATAAAAATTAAAAAGGTTTCTTGACTTTTTTGCTCATGTGCAGTCCTTAATTATGTGTGTAGGCCCAGTGTTTTTGCAATGATGACTTAAGGCCCTCCTTATGCATACTTGTTTTGATTGGGGTTATTGCCAAAGTAATAAAGTTAAGTACCTGCATATAGGTTTGCAGATCGGTGGTATGTGTACCCCTGGGGATACTTTGGAAGGCCTCAGGGGGTATGCAACAGTGGCACTGAGAAGCTGGTGGCACTTCCAGTTGTGCTGCCGTACGCTGTCGGGGACCCCCTTCCCCCCACATGTTGATCGGCTGCTAGGGCACTCCTCACTGCTAGACC